ACAGTGAAGATTATGGGCACTGCTGCTTCCCCATCACCCTCCCTGCAGAGATGAGCACGAACACTCATCTCTCCCATCTTTCAGTTTCTCTCTCTCTCTGTTTAATGTAAGTGGATACTAGAAGACCTCATTTCTCTGCACACTGAAATCTGATCTGTCTCTTTAGCCTCCTGCCTTTTACCTTGGCTCTCTTTTTTTTATCTCTTTGCATCTTTTCCTTCCTTCCCAAACCTTACAATCTTTACAGTTAGATGTTCACATGTGTCAGGCCTCATGCACTGAATACAGTTTAGTACTGTATTGTCATGATAATGATTTTATTACACTGAAAACCAGCATTCATTCCTTTCTTCTGTCTGATGACATGTTTAGTGTAGGTTATAGCTCAGTGCGTGATCCGTTGCCTGCAGCCAGAGCTTGTCGTTCTGTGGCTTCCTCTCTTCCAGCCCTCCCTCCCTCCCTCCTGAGTCCCAGAGGCTGCAGCAGCTGGTTACATACATATTTCTCTCCCACTGTCTTTCTCGCCCCCTTTCACTCAACAAATCTTGCTACCATACAGTTGACAAACAATATGAAATTAGTGACGTTATACTTTGCTCTGGAATGTAACAGTTCTCCATGAACTGAAGTGAGTGAAGTGCAGTTTTGTTTGGTGCAAAAAAAACACTTTTAAATTATGTGAGGTGACAAAATGTGGGGTCACTTCTAGTGTGTGTGCTGACAGCCGCTTCTGTCATTCAGCTTTTATTGTGTGCGATGAACTGTGCATAGGAATGGAAAGTACTGACAGTGGCCTGTTAGCACTGTGGCGACTAATCCATAACCGTGGTCAGTTAGACACCTGTCTACGGACAGAGACACACAGATAGTCGAATGCGTTCGCACACTATTGACCTGACCTTTACAGGAAGCACGCTGAATAGAAGCTGCTGTCAGTCAAGGAGCATCTACCCCGCCTCCACCTCCAGCTTCCCTCCATCCCTCGCCCTCCACCTTAACTGAGTCAATATTCATTAAACAGTCAGTGTTTAGTATACAGGAGGGATGGGTGAATCTAAAGGGATGAGGTAGTGAGGAAATAGTGAAGTGAGTGCAGTGCAGTTTTGTTTGGTGCAAAAAAAAAGCGTTCAGATGAAATAGACGGTGAGAAGAAAGAGATGTAAGTCAGAGAGGGTGAAGCTAGTAGGTATGTGGGTGAGAGAAAGGGATCAGGAGATGGGAGATCGGAGGAGGAGCAGATTTCCTTATCAGACAACACAAAACATGCAGTAGGTGACCCAGACTGGTGCCACCTTAGTAAGCACAGCTTTGATGATAGTCCTGTCACACTGAGTCCAGTGCCTTGATATCAGGTGAGAGAGCCTGCTGTGCACTGTGTGTATGCATGTGTGTGTGTGTGTGTGTGTGTGTGTGTGAGAGAGAGAGAGAGAGAGAGATGCACACAGGGTGGTGTGAGAAAGCTTTGACCTGTGTCTTTGTTTATGTCTCGGGATGAGACTGTGGCTACCTGAGACAAAAATATGAAAGATGATAGCTGTATAAAGACATCAGGCCTAGATCTGTGTGTGTGTGTGTGTGTGTGTGTGTGAGATGGTGTGTTGAGACTACACAATTGGCTTATCTTATCCTTCTACATAGATTGGCTCCATATTGGATGTTTAATATTTAACCATATCTGTCTTCCTGAGAGACTGGGTGATGGGGAAAAGTTGGGAGGAAACAGTGTGTACACAAACACAACTACTCACACTCATACATGTACATAAATACACAGAACAGTGACTTCTACAGATGTGTGTACACAAAATCAGAATCTTTCATAACAAAATATACTGTGTGCAAGCAAGAGCAAACAAAGGAGCTGAAAATGTATTCAAACCACAGATACTGTCAAAGTATTAAATACACCTTGTTTTTGACTACACGTGCCCAGAGCTTAATGCTATTTTAGAAAGATTGCTAATAATCTAATAGCTGATTGATAATCAATTCCTGCTTTAACTCGTGTATTAAACAGTAATGCTAAGTACATGCTGGCTCTGTCTTCCTAACCTGCTAGCAGGGGAAACGAGCTGTAACACAGTGACATGTTTGATACGATGAATATGTAAAACAGTTGCCTACACATTCAGCAGATACACGGTCACATTCGTTTGTAGTCATGTTTCTGACCAGCAGTGCAGTGTTCACCCTCTTCTAGCTTTAGAGATTCTGGTTCTGTTTTATAAATCTCATTTATTGTGTAAGGGGACACGTGCACAAGCCTCATATCCACTCCCACAGTTAAACAAATGTAGAAACGCCCTCAAACAACTGTTTGCATATCGGTACTTGCGCCTGCTTCTCCACTCAGACCTACAGTATCTGCATGTAAGAGGGGTGTCTCTGCAAATCCAGCACTCTAGCTGGCCGATCTGTCTTCTATTGTTCTTTAAAGTAAATCATTTAGTTGCACTTTGTTTCCAACAACAACAAATGAACAGGCTGCCTGTGTCTCTCCTTCACCCTCCCTCTCCTCCTTTTCTTCTCATCTTTCCTTTGAGCACGCTACATATACTGTACAGTAACACAACACAAACACATTTATCAGTTAGCTCTGATTCTGCTGTGATTTCCTTCCACCTGTTGATGTGTGATAGATCTGTGTGCATCTGAAGCAGCGTAAATCTGTCGATGAAAGCTCCTGGATTGTTACACAGTGCATAATGTCCTGTGCACAAAAATACATGTACAGTACCATAGTTCTATAGAGGCAGGCGAAATGATAAGGGGGAAATGAAATAAAAGATGAGTATAAAACATTGTTTGTTTGGGTGTTTGGACAATTTTATTTTTATTTCTGAAATCAAAAAGAGTTTCATTTATAAGATTACCTTTAAATAACCATCAGTAATGAACTTAAATTAATAATAATGTACGTTGTAAAGTTGGTTTCAGTACGAGTGCTATAAATTAATCATATTTCTGACATTTAATAGCGATGATGGTTTCAAGATAAGCGTGATAAATTAATGTTAAGGATGCTGAAAATAGCCATAGCCATGCATAATCATGTGATGACTGCACCTTGTCTTTGGCTTTCTTCTCGCTTATACATATATAATACTTGGACACACAGACACACATTACCAGAAAAATATTAATCCATTCTCACACCAACATGCACAAACACAACATACACTATTTACTCTAGTGGTAAATATATTGAAAGCCCCACACTTGTACGCATTTATTTACTAAGTCTGCTCAAGCATATGCATACACAGATAGGTTGTATGGCTGTAATGATTTCATCTACAAATGAATTTACTTGTGCATAACTAAATGCACGTGTTTGCCGAAATCTCAAGCTCCGAACAAGACTTGGACAGAAAATCCCTCAGAAAGACATGTGTGTAAATCTCTTTAACTGTCATGTCAGATATTTCCTCTTGGAGATTCATTTCAATTCTACATCAGCGATCTGTGCTGGAGATTTATACTGCTGCAGATGCACACAGATCCATCACACACCCACGCACACATGTACAATATATGTGGCAATGCCAAAGCTATCAACAGGTGGAGGAATGTTAGAGCAGAATCGGTGCTAACAAGGCCGCCTTTCAGTAGTGTTTGTGTATGTATGTGCATCTGCTTGGCATTGTTTTTGAAACAGTCACATTGAATATACACTTGCACGTCCGTTCAGATCTTGTTGTCCAGGACTGAGTGCAGCAATGCTAGTCGATGCCAACATCAGCAATGAAATCCCCAGTTTTCTCATCCAGGGAGCGAAAGAGACCTGCATCTCGTCACTCATGCGAGGTTAAATAAATGCCTGAGCGACTGAGTAAGTCAATGGCAGACATATTTTAAACTGTCGTTCCTTCTGCAAATAAACAAGCAGAGAGCTAGGGGCTGAGGAGGATAAGACCTAGGGGAAGAGGTGTGGTGGAGTGATGAGATGAGGAGAAGCAGATTGAGGGGAAGGTTGAACTCACTCATTAGAGCCTGTTTGTTTCCTGATGTGTTTACTCCACTGCGTCGTTCTTTAGCATGAGACCGTTACACCACTGGCTCGCTGCTGTTCCACTCAGCAGATGAAGGAAAGCTTTGATGCAGCAGTTTCCATTTGGCCTCTTTTACAGAGCACGAGTATGAAATACGAGCACAGAGTGGTGGAGCTCACCCCGGTGATGTATGGCACCAACCAGTGGGAGCAGAGCACTCAAAATTCCTTGCTTTGGCACGAGTTCAGGTCATCTTGTCTACAGCGCAAATCAATAGAGAACAGAGATTAGGCATATTTAGTTATGAGCTCAGTGATGGATATAGTTTCCAACATACAGTAGCTATCTGTAGCGGTGCCAGCATGTCTGTGGAGGGAAAAAACAACTTGGAAGATTTATGACTGCACATAATCTGAGCCATTATGACTAAAAATCAGAAATGAAAAGCCACAAAAAACCTGGTTTATTTTATGTGTGACAGATATTTAATATTATATATCAGATGGAGCATGTGTTGCCACACTGGCAGGTTATTTATGAGATCATATCCCCCACTCTGTTTCTAATACGTACTTTAATGCAGTTTCTTTCCAAAAAGCCTTCTGTTCTCCAGTTTGGTATCTTAGCTCCACTGTACGTACTGAACCAATTGTTAGACTCCACAATAGAACCTGAAGGATTCATCTTGAACTTTCCCCCTAGACTCACCACTGTGTAGCTCTTTCACACTTTAAAGCTTTGACTTTCCTTAACTATACAGCTCTCGCATGCATCAGTCTGTACCTCCATACCTCCCTTCTTCATTTATCTTTTACCAAGACAACTGTGCAAGAATTGGGTGAAGAGGAAAAATGTTTATACACATCATTTCTTTTGAGTACTCACTTGAAGAAATGGATTTGCTGTTTTGTCTTCATATGCTTTGCTTACTAATAATAAAAGACAATAAACCAATGAATAATATACAGTAGATTCATGTATTATAACTGTTCTTCTCTTTTTTTTTAGGTTTGATTACCAGGAGCTCCTCCACAACTCCACCTTCTGCTTGGTGCCTCGTGGTCGGCGGCTGGGCTCCTTCCGCTTCCTGGAGTCTTTACAGGTAAATGTCTTATTGTATAAATTACAGTGATGAGCCATAACATTATGACCACTGACAGGTGAAGTCAGGCCACATTTCAGTCAAAATTTGATGACAAACTGTAGATTTTAAACCACGTTTTCAAGGGTTTAAAGTTGCATAACTACCCCATAGTATATTCCTGAGCATATTGCCCTTAATTCCAAATTTTGAGTACTATTCTTTGTAAAACCATGTTGTTGTCCATCCTGCATCTTGCCTGAGTGCTTGGTAATTTTCCAGCTTCTCTAAGGCCCACGTACACAAACAGCTAAGCTCTGCATGCTCTATGCCAACACTGCAATCATCATTAGCTGCAGCATTACCCTCTACATAACACTATTAAGTAACCAAATTACACTTTTACAGGAAACGGCCTTGGTTGAATAAGATCCAGCTCATATACAGTTCAGTCAACAAGGAAGTGTGCAGGAAGCAGAATGTTTATGTTCCAGAGCCGTGCAGCCCATTGGTTATTGACACCTTAATGGTCACATCTGTGAGTGTTTTCCCCAGCCCACTGTGCTGTGTGCAGATCTAGCTATAAAAGTTTTATTTGCTATTTACTTGGCATTATAATCTAAAATGGGTCCATTAACAGATGCAGATGCACGTATACACCTACACAAGCAGTGGAATTGTTCTTTTAAATCCATCAGTGAAATGTGCAAGTACACAAACAATGAAGAAGCCACATGCGGTGAAGTGAGAGAACAGTTTAAACCAGTCAATTCTTTCTCTGCCACCCAAGTCGACAGTCTCACACCAGTGCAGGAAGCTAGTTGCTGTTTTTAGACTTGCAGAACACTGAACTCTCTGGCTGCCACGGTGTTCTCCGCACCGCACTGCTCTCTGGAGCTACAGTATGTGTGTATGTGTTTGAGTGTGTGTGTGTACATGAATGGTCCGGAAACATCCATAGGAGCAGCAGCCTGCCCCACTGCTGATGTCTGCTGAATGGACAAATCCACATAGAACCCACTCTGCTTGGCAGCAGGCAGCAGTCGTGGTCTCGCTCTCTGTCTCACTCTGTTCTCCCTGCTGTCCTCTCTCTTTTCCATTGAAGCCACTTTTTAATTTTTATTTTTTGTAGTGTTTTTTTTTTTTTATTTCAGTGCCAGCTGGGCCCACAAAAGAACTGGCAATTACCACTGTGGTGGAAAACTTACTGCCAGATTTCCAACAGACACACATTTGCCCATTCCTCCACAATAACATTCGCTCAACCCCCCCCTTCTCCATCTCCCAGTGCAAACAAACCAAAAACAACTACCATACACAGCACATAGGCTTTTAGATTACCCTACCTCCAGGCAAGGGGACCAAAAATGTTCAGAACTGACCCTTGGAGTGCTTCATCTCACAGGGAGCAGACTCATGTGGGCCTCGGGCTGCAGTTCAAATTTTGGAGGCCTTGGATTAACACACTGGGAGGCTTCCTGCAACCTCACTGCAACCTGCTGCCGACTCTGACTCAGACACACATACAAGCCCTATTTGCTCGAGTGTCCTTCAGCTGTGCTAATTTCAGATGAAATGCAAGAGCATGGAATCCCCGGTGGGAAGAAGAGGCCGTTTGATCCTCACCATTCTAGCTGTTGCTGGTGATGTTCTCTGGTGGTTTAATTAGAAAAAAAGGCAGAAAAAACACACGGCACTCCAGTGAGTGCTCCACAGTTAGTGGATAGGGGAAGAGAGTATGATGGGGTGAGAGTGCAGTGGAGAGAAATGGGGAAAAAGCAAAGAGAAGCCGGTAGATGCACAGAGAGGGAGAGAGCAAAGGGGGGTTCAAAAGGAAGAAAAAAGTGGAACATCAAAAACCCGTCACTGAATGAAGGGAAAAGGCATCAAAAATCAACTTCAGTAAAGCATGATGCCTCCACATATCAACTGGTTCCTTCTTATTCTCCTCCCATCCTCTCACTCCTCCTTTCCACCAGTTTACCACCTTCCCTGCATATGACCCATTAGTGGTCGCACCTAATTAGTACCCCGAGTCAGACCCGTCAGCCACGTCTGTGTTTGCATGTATATGAGTGAAAGTCCTTAATAAACCTCCAGGGCTTCCTGAGAAACAGAGAGAGAAGGTATTACTCATTCCAGCCGTCCTACAGGGATCTTGCACATGCCCCCACACACACATAGTTGCACATACTGTACATTTACATGCAGAAGCGTTGATCGTATTGTCTGATATCACAGTGCCAAGCAGCTGGGACTGATCTCATACGGCTTGTATTCACGCAGCTGCAGTTTATAATGTTATATTTTTTATTGCCAAAGAAGAGCTGGCAGCGAGGGGAGCTCATCTGCAAGCAACCCGGTCAAACTGCAGCTGATCAGAGCTGATGTATATGGAATTGTTCAGTTCGTTTCACTTTACTCTCCCTCTGTGACTCTCTAAATTCTTATATGTGTTTGTGTGTGTGTGTGTGTGTGTGTGTGTGTCCAGGCAGCGTGTATCCCAGTTTTGCTGAGTAATGGTTGGGAGCTGCCATTTTCTGATGTCATACAGTGGAACCAGGCAGTCATTGAGGGAGATGAGAGATTACTACTACAGGTAACACTTGTAAGCATGTGCGCATGGGAGATCAGTTGAAAACATTTTTCATTCAAAGAGCCTGGATTTGCTTTGATTCCCAAGAAATATAATCCATCTCTGAATGCGTTTACATGGACAATTAGTGTCCCAGTTTTGATCATGTGCGGCATATGGTGTTTACATGGAGATAGAGAAATCTGGTTACATATATCCCTCTATACATGGTCATGGTCAAAGTGTTTATTTGTCATATGCACAGTTAGGAAACATGTTTCCCTGTACAATGAAATTCTTACTTTGCCGTCCACATGAATGCCACAAAATACAAATGAAATATAAAGTAGATAAATAAGTAACACAAAATCTAAGGCACTTTAAGCAGCAAATGCAGCAATATAATAAAAATATATAAGAAATATAACAGAGAATGTATGCTGCATGGGAGCAGCATGTGCAGCAGTCAACAGTCAATGTGCAA